CTCCTGTAGAATATGTACATAAACTAGTTTCTTTAACCTCTCATCACGACTTTGCTAGTGTTGTAGTGGACTCACTCTAAGTTTTAGATTCCTGAAACTAAATATTTTCTTGAGTGTACTGCGTATCATAATAAATTAAAATATTAAAAATATGGATCAAATATCATTTCACCAAAATATGTTCACAATCTGAGGAGAACGTCAAAATCAAAGTATTTTCTACTCACTTTGAAATCTCATAATCTCTATCAATATAACAATATAATAAATAGTCAACATGTGCTATGAGTCAACAACAACATTTAAGCAATGTCGGGCTATCAATAACATTTAAGCAATGTCAAGCTATCTACAATATTTAAATAATGTCAAGCTATCTCATGACAACTGCGCAGTGTCCAAATCAATAACATGTAAGACATGTCAAGCTATCAACAACTCTAGCACAGTGGATACTATTCAAATCATAAGCTTTTCAACAAACCACATGCTTCTCAACAAAACAAATTTGATTCATAGCTTAAGCAACTCAACTCAAATCAATTCAGCAAAATTAATTTCTCACATATAAGAGAATAAACTCGGTATATCATATACTTTTATTTTTAAGTTTTATGAAGTAGTCGACTTCACTTTTATCGCTGACAAGTACCCTTCATTTCTTTACGGTCGATTCCTATGTGTAACTGAGATAGTAGCCTCTAATCCTAACAGTTAACACATGATGCAAATAAGTATCGAATCAAAAATAGCTTAACTAAAGAAAATCAATGCGCCGGAATGTATTTCTTAACGTTTCCTATTCACCACAATTGCATCGTTTCGGACCACTGTGCGTTACCGCACTCAAAACCCAAATCTAGATCCCTGATTTCCAATCCAAATTCAAAATAATCCATCATAAGTTTTAAAATATGTTAATAATTCATAACTAATGTAATACATGACTCAAAATAAATTTGAAAAACTTCGATTGATCTGAAATTGAGAAATTCTATTCTACGCTGCTTTTCGATCCGAAATAGCCAAAAATAAAATGATGTTATTTTTCAATGAATTTCATACACATAATCAAATAACCTACATAGGAATGAATGTAAAATTTATTTTTCAAAAATCACCTAAAATTTTATCGGGACCTCCGTACGGATGTTATGGAACATTTGGCACCAATTGAAGGTCAAAAGAGCCTTCACACACATTCGGAGTGCACTGGTGTACCTCCTCCTCCTTCATCTTCTTCCTAGGTCACTTTGACCAAAACTCTAGGTTGTTCTCATCAACCTTAACCTCCTTACTTCTCACCCTTATTTCTCCCTATTCAATACACATTTTCACCTAATTTTTGATCCTAAACACTCACCACACATCACTTTAACAAACCCCATAATTCTCAAGCTTCGAATTAAGCTTAAACCCATAAGAAAAACTTGTCAAAGTAATCCAAAAATAAGGTTTCTAGTTTATGGTCAAACCTGCAACTTACATTTTAACCATCTTAACAACTTCTAAATCCATTTCTAAGATCACCAATGGATTCCTAAGGTCCATTTTAGCTAGGGACAACCTTCCCTCTAAAGCTCAAACTCCAAAACCAAGAGATCAAAAATTCACCATGGCCGAAACTTCATCACCACCACCCCATTACCTCCAACCATGGCAAACCTTGAAATAACCACCAAAATACTCCTCTACCTCCCCACAACATAGCCATACCAACCAAGTTAATCAAAATGACCTCAAACTCAAAATTCATTTCATAAAAACCTAGAACCCGAAAATTTAAAACATGATAACCCTCAAATTAGTCTAGTAGCATGCCTTTAATTGTTCAAAGTAGTTTCTTCCACAAATTCAAAATTCAAAATTTAATTTTCTCTCTCTATCTTCTCTCTTCTCCCTCTCTCCTTCTTGGCGGTTCTCCCTTATCCAGAGACTTGTTGAACTCTTAAGCAACTCCTCAATCACTCTGGAAGCTTAGAGAAGACTAAGGAGAACTCCTCTTATGCTGCCAGGTAGCAACTTGGGAAGAAATGTCATGCAATGGTATTTTCGTAAATAACTCAATTTCATTTTTTTTTATATAATTATAAACCTATTAAAACTGCACTATAAAAAAAATATTTTCATATATTTTTTTTTCGTACACAAGGATGCTCGGATTTTACATCTATATTTATTTCTTTATAGAAAAACATAAGTTGTGTGTTTAAAAAAAACTTAATTATTTTTTTAATAAGTTGTCAAATTAATCTGAACCATATTAAATTTTTTCAATGACCCAAAGGTCAATTCAAACAAATGTGTGGTATTTTATGTGTTTCATAAGCAAATGCAATTTATTTTCTACAAATTTAAATTTAGGGCATTTTATTGTTATTGGCTGAATTAATAACCCAAATCCTCTCAAATTTCCAAATTTTATTTAACAAATCTGTTTTGTATAGCCCAAATATTTTTTTTATATCCCAAATACTCTCATTAATTAATAACTCAAATCTGATTTTAATTTAACAATTACCAACCCTATCTCTATCTCTATATGGGTTAGCGGTGGATAGACAGAGAGGCACTCGACTAAGGCTTCAGAGAGAGAAAGAGGGAGAAAGAACAAATGGGTCTTCCTTGGAGGTAGTATACATCGTCCATCAGCAGATCTGCAACTTCCATGGACAGATCTGGTCAACAGATCGTCCATCAGACAGATCTACAACTTTCATGGAGAGTTCGAAATACCATGGTAGCAAGAGATGGGTTAGCATGGAGAAAGAGAGAAAGAGGTGGGATAAGTGGATTCCATTCCAAAAAACTTACCCCAGCCAAAGATAAGTGGACTCCATTCACAATTTTAATCCAATCCCCCCTGTAATCCCCCCAAATCTTTTGATCCAAACACCACCTCGAAGGATTATGGTGGTATAAAGAGGTGGAATTAGAAAAAAAAATAGTACGTAGGGCCTAATAATATCTTATTTGTTTTTATTTTTTCGTGTGTTATTATTTTTTGGATCGTAATACCGACCCGCTAATTATAATGCACCAGAACCTATGTACATGGGCTTATATAATACCACCTCGTAGGTGGTATTATTTTTTGGATTTTGACCACCAATGGTATTAAGGAGATTAATAACTGAATTACCCTTCAGCCTTTAATGTTAGTATGGGATTTTAGCCACCAACGGTTTTTTATTTTTAAATTTTATTAATTTTTTAAAAATCTTTTTCAAAAATTCTATATAAATTTCTGGGTTAATCTCATTTTACAACCCGAAAGATTGTTCGAATCTCAATTTGCACCCTCAAAGAGCAAAAATCTCAATTTACACTCTCAAAAATAAAAATTTGTATCAATGTGCACCCCAAAAAATTAAAATCTCAATTTGCACTCTCAAAGATAGAAATTTATATCAATGTGCACCCCAAAAATAAAAAATCTCAATTTACACTCTCAAAGATAGAAATTTGTATCATTATGCACCTAAAACTAAATTGATAAATTATACCTAGATCTCCTCATGCTTGTCACTTAATCATTTGGATTTCTTTATATTTAGAATATTACTCCTACATCTCATGACATTTGTGCACGTACAACATGTAACTCATTTTCATTGATATCTGTTAATATAATCGTTAAAAGATATAATTTTATCCTAATAAAAAATTATAATTTTATATTACCCTTATTTTATGGGTCCAATATACTCTAAAGTTCAAAATCAAGTTTATTATTTGAATGTCTAATAAAATGTATATATTTATATAATATTTTTCATATTTTCCTTTATATAAATATCTACGTTCTATTAGACATTCAAATGGTAAGCTTAATTTTGAACTTTAGAGTATATCAAATCCACAAAATAAAGGGTAATATGAAATTATAATTTTTTATTAGGATAAAATCATATTTTTCAACGATTATATTAACAGATATCAACGAAAAGTGGTTATGTGTTACACATGTACAAACGTCATGAGATGTAGGAGTAATATTTTAAATGTGAAAGGGTTCAAATGATTAAGTGACAAACATGAGGGGATCTAGGTATAATTTATCAATTTAATTTTAGGTACGCATTGATATAGATTTCTATTTTTGAGGGTGTAATTGAGATTTTTTATCTTTGGAGGTGCAAATTAAGATTTCAACGATCTTTCGGGGTGCAAAATGAGATTAACTCTAAATTTCTATATGAAACTGAGATAGTTACCTTTCAAAAAATTCTAACAATAGGGGGGAATGTCTATGTTTTATTCTTCCGAAGGTGGGAAAAAAGATAAAACTAACTAATTATTAATCCAAATTCAAGTTTAAAACGATGTGACTTGTTTTTTTATTAATTTTTAAAAAAAATTCTGATTTTGAATTTTCTTCTTATATTATGTGTAAGCGTATGATGTCACCGATTTTTTTTTTAATTTTTTTTATAAGTTTTTTTTGTACATACATCTGGAATGGATGATGTAAATGATAAAATTGTATATTTGTTATACAATATGTGATAGAATAGATAGTTATTTGTTAGACGCACTACAATACCTATTATTTTTTTTTGGGAACAAATATTATAATACCTATTGAACTAACAAACAAGTGAAAAGATTAAAATACTTTCTATTACTAGTATTAATTTTTATAGGTATTGAAAATATAAATAATACATTTCTCAATACCATCCATAACAATCCTCAAAACAAACATGCCCCAAGTATGAAATTTTGTAATCCAGTGAAGCTATGTTTTCTACATGGTATTAAGTCTTAGAAATTAAATGAGGATTTCATGATAATGCCTATTTTAATATTTAATTTATAAAATTTAAAGTTCATTCACATTTCAAAGAGGTATCTATCCCAACAAATCATAGCTTTAGGGGCATTACCAAATGCGCCCAATCCATCTGAAAAATAATCGGATCGCTTCATATCACACACACACACATCTCTCGCTCTCTCTCTCGCGCGCACACACACACACACGAAGATGCTCTCTCTCATATCTGAGTCTCCATCTCTGTAGAGGCCCGACATTTCCCTGTCAAGACCTTACCATCCCCCATTGACTTTTCCCTCTTGCTCCAACACCAGTAGGCCGAAAACATCGGCGTCGGGACATGGCGGCCCTGCCTCTCTTTAATAGCCCTATGTTCCATCTCCAGCTTAAACTTCAGCGGACCAATCAAGAATATTCGACGCTTTGACTTCGCTGACATCGATGTCAGATACGTCATATTCACTTTCTGTAATAAAGTCGAACAATTGGAAGGGTACCCATCGGAACTCGAGTATCGGATGGAGTTTGATCAGTTCTTGGTCAAAAAATGAATTGTATTTTCATCGCCGATGAACCGATAACTTTGAGGCTTAATGAAGAAGCCGATCTCGTCAAAGTCAAATAGGCTCGCTTCCGATACTCGTTGTCTTTATCAAAAATTCTTTTCCGTAGTCGTGTAATGGGAGTGTGTTGTGGAGAGAGAGTGTCTTCTGCATCTTCATCATCGAAGCACTCAAACATGGTGTTGCTTTCTTTGTCTTCCAAGAAATTATTTGACAATTTTTTTTTTTATAAAAAGAAAATGTTTTATTCATAACTTGGAATGGAACGTAAATTTTATTCTAACAACTTGGAATATGTGAAAGGGATACTCAAACTCAAAGTAGAGTCCCGTATATATAGCCAAAAATAATACAGAGTGACTTAAATATCCTTGTAGTTTAGGCAAAATATAAAAATTATAGTAAGGGTAAAAAAGAGAAAAGAAATCCTAATAAACCTAGACTACTATCTATACTCCAACACTCCCCCTCAAGCTAGGCGCAAAAATGTCAACTAAGTCAAACTTGACAACGGAGTCCCGAAGAATAGACAGAGTAACAGGTTTGGTAAAAACATCCGCAACTTGATCACTGGTCCCCACAAACGATGGAGTAACAAGACCACTGGTGACCTTCTCCCGAAGAAAGTGAACATCGATCTCTATATGCTTCGTTCTCTCATGTAGTACAGAGTCAGAAGCGAGCTGAATAGCAGATTGATTATCACAATATAATGTGGATGGAGAGGTCACTGAAAAACCCAACTCGTCAAGAATCGATCGTAGCCAGATAATCTCACATGTGCCAAGTGCCAATGCCCGATACTCTGCCTCCGCGGACGAGCGGGAGACAACTGTCTGCTTCTTGCTCTTCCAAGAGATAAGATGAGTCCCTCGAAAAGCACAGAAACCCGTAGTAGATCGACCATCACATGCTCCCCCATAATCTGAATCTGAATAACATGCTAGAGAACCGGTCTGAGATCCTGATGCATAAAACAACCCAAGTCCAGGACAAGATTTGAGGTACCGAAGAATATGATAAACTGCATCAAGATGAGGCTGACATGGCCTATGCATGAACTGACTAACTCGGCTGACTGCGAATGAAATGTCCGGCCTAGTATTGGCTAAGTAGATAAGTCTACCTACCAATCTTTGATAAACTGTCGGATCTTTCAACTCCTCACCTTCAGCAGTAAGCTTCAGGTTTGGAATCATAGGTGATGATGCCGGTTTGCACCCCAACATCCCAGTGTCTGAAAGAAGATCCAAAACATACTTTCTCTGAGAAAGAACAATACCTCTGCTTCTACGGGCAACCTCAATCCCAAGAAAGTATCGCAGAAATCCAAGATCCTTCACATCGAAGGCATTCCCAAGGTCTATCTTGACCTGCTCAGTCCCAGAAACATCATCACCAGTAATAATAATATCATCAACATATACCAGAAGGATGACACACTGTCCAGAAGTATTCCGTCGAATAAAGCAGGTATGATCAGAATGACACCTGGTGAACCCCAATCGTAGAACTACATCACTGAAGCGAGAGAACCAGGCTCGTGGCGACTGTTTCAGTCCATAAAGAGACTTACGCAGTCGACATACCTTTCCAGCATACTCCCCCTCACCACGAAAGCCCGGTGGTGCATCCATATAAATAATCTCGTCCAGATCACCGTGAAGAAACGCATTCTTCACATCTAATTGATGAAGAGGCCAAGAGTACTCCGCAGCCAAAGAAATAATTAACCGAACAGTAGTCAATTTTGCCACGGGGGCAAATGTAGCACCAAAGTCACGACCTGGTACCTGAGTAAAGCCCTTCGCCACAAGTCTAGCCTTGTAACGATCAATAGTACCATCTGCCAGAAACTTCAGGGTGTAAACCCAGCGACAGCCAACAGGCTTCACCCCTGAAGGTAAGGAGACAAGATCCCATGTATGATTACGCTGAAGAGCGTCCATCTCTGTCTGCATGGCAAGAACCCACTGGGGCTCCCGCATAGCTTCCGAAATAGAGCGAGGAACCAGCGTATCTGATAAGGCCATAGTATAAGCTCGAAATGTGGGAGACAGATTACCATAAGAAACATAAGCAGAGATCGGATATAAAATCTTGGCGGTCCAACCATATCGATCAACTGGACGGCGATCACGCCTTGGATAACGACGCCCTAAATCACCATCCTCTACTGATAATATCTTATCAGGTAAAGTAACTGGCTCAGCACCTGTAATCTCATCAGTACTAACAACAGGTGCATCAATATGCTCAACAAACTGAGAAGTATTACCTGCATCGCCTGAGGTAGAGGGGATATCAGCAGGGTGATGAGAGCGAGGACAACGAGCATACACCTGCAAAGGAAGAGAGACTGGTAACTCTGTACTGACAGGGATGAGTGACTCCTTGGGAGGAAAAACGGATGACCCTGTAGGGATAGTGATCAATGACTCTGACTCTTGTGGTAATGGGAAGTCAAAGGGAGTATCATCAACTGGAGGGGCAGACAAAGGACTGAAAGGAAAATAAGGAATATGCTCAAGAAAGGTAACATCTAGACTGTGATACATACGACGCCTAATAGGATCATAACAGCGATACCCCTTAGATTGATGACAATAGCCCACAAAGATACAACGAATCGCTTTATCATCAAGTTTATGACGAGTAGGAGACCGATCCTGAACAAAACATGTGCATCCAAAAATATGAGGGGGGACCGGAAAAAGTGTCCGCTCAGGAAATAAGACCTGTAAGGGAGCCTTATGCTGAAGAACACGACTCGGCGTACGATTGCACAGAAAGGTAGAAGTCAAAACAGCAAAATGCCAATAAGATTTTGGTACCCTCATGCCTCTAAGCAGACAACGTACCATCCCTATCAAACTCCTATTTTTCCTCTCAGCAACACCATTTTGCTCAGGAGTATATGGACAAGTGAGTTGTTGAAGGATACCCTGAGAAGAAAGGTGAGATACTAAAGCATCAGACACATATTCTTTGGCATTATCCGAACGAAGAGCACGAACAATGACATCGAATTGTGTCTTAATCATCTGTAAAAACTGAGTGATTATAGGGAGCACATCAGACTTCCTATGCAAAAGGTAGACCCAAGTACAACGGGTATGATCATCTATAAATGTCACATAATATCTGGCACCTGACAGAGCAGTAACGGGAGAGGGTCCCCAAATATCAGAGTGTATTAGGTCAAATGGCTTGGGTGACTGGTGCATGCGAGGAATATAATTGGCCCTAACATGTTTTGATAGGGAACAGATAACGCAATCAAGTTTACCACCAACACAAGCATTACTCAAAGCAGGAAACAACATACATAAATATTTAAAATTTGTATGTCCAAAACGGTCATGCCACAATTGAACAGTTTGTGACGAAAAATCATAACGACAACTACTAGGTAAAATACTAGCATGCAAGTTAGGAACAGAAAAAGACAAAGCAGGGGCAGGTGAAGGAATTGGTGAAACTGGAGATGGATTGCCAAGATAATACAGTCCATCTTTCTCATGTCCCTTGATAATAATCCTCCTGGTACTCAGGTCCTGCAAATAACACGAATCAGATAAGAATACAACCGCACAGTGAAAATCTCTGGCTAACTGATGTACAGATAATAGATTCATGGCCAACTTTGGCGCATGAAAAACCGAATGTAATGTAAGGCCATCTGGGAGACGGACTGTACCCCTACTAACAATAGGGGCATGTGTTCCACCTGCTAACTGAACCTGTGTATGTAACGGCTCGTCAAAAGTGGTGAAGTGATGGGCCTCACCTGTCATGTGACCATTCGCACCCGAGTCCAACATCCAAAGGGGAGATGAACTGGCACAAGCGTGAAAGGCACGAGATATACCTGTAGTGGTGACAGCAGCAGTAGTCAGACTCTGAGAAGTCAGAGCAGACATAAGTATATCTAATCGGGAAGTGATAGCATCCATATCACTTTGCCAAGGAGGAGCAGTAGCAGGAGTGGCGGTAGTGGGCGGTGGTACCTCAGCAATAGCAACAGTACGGCTGCGAGAAGGTGGCTTAAGCTCTGGATGGAGCTTCCAGCAAGTAGCCCTGAGATGTCCTGGTCGGCCACAATAATCACATTGACGGGAATTCCCCCGTCTACGCTGATCTGGGGTGCCCTGACGGCGCTGGTCTGAGCGTTGCCTATCCCTGACTAAGGATCCTGAAACAGCAGCTGCAAGGGCCATCTGGTCAATCGAAGGAGGCAAAGCTGCAACTGGAAGTGATGCAATACGGACTCGACGCTCATGCTGCTCAATCATCTCATACACCTCATAAAGAGAAGGAAGTGTCAACATCGACAAGATCTGAGAACGAGGTCCCTCAAACTCATCACGAAGCCCCATAAGGAACTTGTGAATCCTATCCTCCTGCTCTCGAGTATGCAAGAATGCTGCTCCCTCGGGCTCTATCTTCGGAATAGCAGCAAGAGGACGTAGAGACTCATACTCAAGCCAGCGCTGGGTCAAATAGCCATAATAATCCTGAACGGTCATATCTCCCTGCCGAGCATATGAGAGCTCCTGAGAAAGCTCATAAACACGAACTCCCCGTCCTGACTGAGAATACATCTCCGATAATGCGCTCCATAGCTTCGGAACAGAGCTATGAAACTGGTGGATCCTGCAAACAGAGGGCTCCATTGAGCCAAATAACCATCCAAGAATGGCACAGTTTTCAGAGAACCATGCAGAATATCCAGGGTCGGCATCAGCTGGCTTTGGGTGAGATCCCGTCAGCCAACCAAGCTTCCCTACACGGCCTAAGAAAAGTTGGAATGAGCGTGACCACTCAGTGAAGTTACGACCATTCAACAATTGTGCCGTAACTTTTTGAGAGATCATGCCCGGTAATGCTGGTAATGCAACTGTGCTAGTAGGCACTGTATACTGGTCAAACATAAAAGTGGAAGTACCCATAGATGTCTCAACGGTAGAGGTGTCAACAGTAGGGTTCTCAAGTCCCTCAGTAGTAGTCATATCAACAACAGTACTAGGGCACCCGTGACAGAAAAATAACTCTAAGATAAATAGAGGAATAAAATAAGGGAGAACAATATATCTTCAGTCGAACAGTAGCGACAAATAGGGAAGGTCCAAAAAAGCTCCCAAATAATCAAGTCACGGTGCCCAAAAATCCAAAATATATAAATAAGTGATTTACTACATCAAGAGCAAATCAACAACCCCTCATAAAAAATCCTAGATATAACAGTGAGTTGGGTTTAGTATATGTTTAATGGGCTGAGGCAATACTGGGTTCTGGTTTGGATTGTTTGGGCTGCTGGTCGATGCTAGCTATTTAATGTGTATATGTTCGCTGTGCCAATGTATATACCATAGACATTCAACAGGTATTCAACAGGGCAGTCGGCTGGTCTGGTTCGGTTCACTCACGAAACTTCGGTTCTCAAGGAATTATTGGAAGGCGATTGAGTGGGTTTGTCGGTTGGAGGCAGTCGGTGGGGTGGGCTATAGGAGTTTCGCTGGGCTGTCGGTGGTTTATGGGCAGTCGGTGGACTGAAACATGTTTTGGTTTCAGTCGGTGCTTTATGGGCAGTCGGTGGCTGGGCTATAGGAGTTTCGGTCGGTGCAACTGGTTTCAGTCGGTGTCGGTTGGAAGCAACAGGTAGACGATTTTGGTTGGGTTCTATCGATCGGTTGGGTTTTTCGGTGGAGTCGCTGGTTCTGGTTCTGGTGTGGCGCTGGAGTCGCTGGAGTCGCTGGTTCGGTGTAATCAGTTTTCAGTCGGTGGAATGGTAGACGATTTTGGCTGGGTTCTATCGATCGGTTGGGTTTTTCGGGGGAGTCGCTGGTTCTGGTTCTGGTGTGGCGCTGGAGGTTGGGCAGGCTGTTGCAGATTGTTTGAGTGTTTTGGAATGGTGGCTGCTGGGAAGGTGATGAAGGCTAGGGTTAAGGTTAGGGTTAGGCTTAGAGATGGAGGCTAGGGTTTTGGCTCTGATACCAACTTGGAATATGTGAAAGGGATACTCAAACTCAAAGTAGAGTCCCGTATATATAGCCAAAAATAATACAGAGTGACTTAAATATCCTTGTAGTTTAGGCAAAATATAAAAATCATAGTAAGGGTAAAAAAGAGAAAAGAAATCCTAATAAACCTAGACTACTATCTATACTCCAACATAACACTTAATCCCAACTAATCGCTAAACATTATAACGGTAGTAAACATTTTACCACATTTATAAGTTTATTTCATTCTCATGTTCATCTCAGTTCATTCATGCTCTCCTTCCCTCCGATTAGCAATTACTTCGATGGTGTAGGCTTGTGGGTATTTCTCATTCAAGTGCGTTTAGGCTTTAACTCGTGTGGATTTATGCGTGTTCTTTGTGTTTTTGACCAAAAAAAAATAGCAACATTATCACGTACCAAACGTAACATGAGGCATGTTAGTTTAGGTATTAAGAGATTGAATTGGATTAATTTAATCTAGTGATAATATAATATCAAATTTAAATTGGGTTATTGTAATTCGATATTAATTTCTCATTAATCCCGATCTAGTATACTATTGTCATTTAACACATAATATTAATATCACGACAAATTTCACATGTAAAAGTACCACAAAATTAGGTCAAATTACAATTGTTTGATTTGTTAGACTTCAATGATTAAAGTAGTATTGACTCTCCTTAGCGTACTTATAACGTGCACAATCCTCGGATTCTCAATAAATTTGATAATGACGAGAATGACGTGTTTTTTTATCTTTGATTTGTTGGTGACTTTGATAAATTTGATGAAAACAAGAGCTTGATTAGTGTGTTTCACAATCTTCGATTTGGTGTTGACTTTAATAAATTTGGTGAAGATGAGGAGGGCTTGATTAACATAATTCTCGATCTTCAATTTAGTAATGTTTTGGTGAATTTGGTGAAAACAGGAGCTTGATCGATGTGATTCTTGATTTTTAATTTGGTGATGACTTTAGTTAATTTGATGAAAACGAGGGTCGTTTTGACATGATTCTCAATCTTCAATGTGATGATGACTTTGGTGAATTTATTGAAGATGAAAGTCTGATTGACGTAATTCTCATTCTTCGATTTTATAATGACTTTGATAAATTTTTTCACCATTCTTTGTCTTAAATAAATTAAAAAATTTAGAGTCTTTAATCTAATCATATTTCTTGTCTTGTGACGACTTTATGGTCAAAAGTTCGATTCTCCCTCCCAAAAAAAAATATAAGTTATAAAATTTAGAGCCTTTAAAAAAATAAAAAACTTTTTCAATAACTCTATCCTGTCTTCCATGAACCATTCTAATTTGATGAATCCCTTACACTTGAAGCCTTATGCACCTTTTGGTAATTTTATAAACCTTATGAACCCTTCTAATGTGTTGAATATTTATCTTCATGAAGAAATAGTCACTCAAGACCGTCATATTACAGGTACAACATTGTGCACATTAAATCAAACATTAAGGGCTTTGCTTGGTCTTGCCAAACATAGATTCACCATACATAAACCCAACATTTGAGATTAAGTGCTTAAAATTGCTTATATTCAACCATACACATAGGGTGTAACTCGAGCGGATTGGACAATCAACCCTAACCCAATTCTAAGTATATAATCTTCAACCCTAACCCTACCTCGGGTTGGAGAACTCAACCCGAGCACTGTCCGAGTTTAATTCGGGCGGGCTCGGGTTGAATTCAAGTTGATGATTTCGAACTGGTTTCGGGTTACTTTACAAGTTCAATTCAGATAGAACCCAAAATAGGTTTGTTGTTCTCAACTTAATACATATATTACATAATATTCACCTAAATTAACAACCAATAACTTTAACCAAGTTTTTAATGAGAGAGACTGAGAGAACGAGAGAGACAGAGAACGATAGAACAAAAATAAAAAATCAGTGCTAATGTTTTATATATATAGATATATAATTTTTTTTTTAAATTAATCGGGTTCAAGTTAAACTCGGGTTCACAAGTTCTTAACTCGAGCCCAACCCAAATTGAAATCAGGTTAAAATTTTTTGACTCAAGCCCAACTCAAGTATTAAAAACCTTTGCCCAAGCCTTAATTTTTTCGGGTTGGACTCGGGTGCCCAACCCAAGTTGCACCCCTACATACACATTCATACAATGAAGACATGTAGCAATAAGTAAACTGTCATATTAAACGATGGAAATGAGAAAATTATATCAATAATGCAAGCGATCATTGATTGATTCATATACAATGCAAAAGAGCCACCATTTACTATGTGAGAACTACCTATGGACTTGGTACTTTATATAAATGACAGAGAACAAATGGATGCCAAACTGATCTCATTCCAAACTTCACAAAGGATGAAAGAAATTCATCGGGTTCAAAATCAATATCTTTTCCTAGCATTCGAAAAGCCTCAATCCATGTCATCCTGCCAGTCAACTTGAGATTACCAACTTAAAATAGACCCAGAAGTGGCACTATATACCTGGTACCAAAGAAAAAGGAAAAAGAAATTACAAACAAAAATCTTATGCAAGGAGTGAATCTGCTTTCTGTCCATCCAACAAAAATCTTTCTGAAATTATGTAGCTACGAAACATATCAGAATATATGTCAAAGCAATATTGCCAATTTGTTATAAAGATATACTTCTGGTATCCTGCCCACAAGATGTCGTTTTCCGCATTGCACACCAGGTTTCATCATCCAGATGTTGTGTGTACCATGTGCAAGTAGAAATAACTATATATCCACAATCGCATACCTATCTTTATTATCCCTTACTCTATTGCTCACTCCAGAGTCCAGACCAACAAGGTAGTCGGCGAATAAACACATACATGTATTGCTCCTTAAACAATAGAACAGTAGTCAGACTTTTACTTTGGCCGTTGACTCATTCCTTACATACTTGTTCCTGATATCTAATGTTTTCAAACTGCATATAGATGACAAGACTACACTAAGGTAACTAATCACACACTGATGACTGATCAGATGATTAAGATTAGAACCACAATAGTTGAACATAAGTAGGACATGAGCAGGATACATAAGATGTAGTTTCAGTCAAGTCACTGATAAAAAACAAACATTTCAGCCAAGTATGACAGAATTTATATTAGAGTATTTCATAAACAAGTATACTGATCAGAAAACAAATATGTATTTATCATTCTTAAGACCCGATTTGATATTATGAATGCAGAGATTAAATCCTACCAAAAACTTCTAAAACGGGGGATAAATATATGAATAAAGCTATACACACAGTGACAGCTGAATGTTAACATTTGAAACTGAAACTTAACAAAGAATGCAGTCCAGACAACTTACAGAGACAGGCATTGTCAAAATAATACCCTGCCATTGCAGAAATCTCATAGATCAACCCCCTCATCAAGGCCTTTAGAACTGATCATCACATTTGAATCTATTTGCTTGTCAAATTTCTTTTTTCTCCGAGCTTCAAACTCTTGGAATCCTTCCATCTGAAGGTAAATCTAGATGAAGTTCTACTAGGACAGAGGTAAGCATGATTTTAACAATTATGCTGAAAATTTAAAAGGAGCATAAAGCAGTACACAATCAAACTACAATTCACCTGTTGAAATTGATCCATAGAGATGGGATTCCCATGCAGGGAAATGTTCTGCAGAGATTTGCACCCTTTCAATAAATTTGGAGGTATCTGCCCATAGGGAAAAGCCAGAATATTAATTCTCACTTATTATGATACTTGAACCATGGTCTCATACTTGAAAGATTTGCATTCTTTCATTATCATGACTGCTCTGATACTTGAACCATGTTCTCATGCCTGGTAGCCTGAGCATTTGACCATTGCGCACCAAGCAATGGCCCCTGAAAGTAGAAGCTTATGAACTTTGGGTAGAGTAGCAAATGGAAATCATTGATCTAAATACAACTATTCTGGAGATGGTTAAAGGCTGTTGACTTGAAATCCATTTGTGCGTGCGTGTGTGTGTGTGTGTGTGTGTGAGAGAGAGAGAGAGAGAGAGAGAGAGAGAAAGAAAGGATACCGAAAGCAACTTCAAAAAAATTCAAGAAAATATCACTCTGATCAGATAAATGCCAGCAAAAAAAATCAGACCCCATGCTAATAACCATAACAAGAAAGAAAGCAAATATACATCCTCGATTCTAACAGGCAAAATGTAAGCTGCTCACCTGTTTCAGGTTATTGTTGTTCAAGCAGAGTGACTTTAGGTGAATAAGATTGCAAATTGAGGCAGGAAGTACTTCGATAGAATTTCCTGCAAAAAACCCAAAAGTATGATGCTGACTAAAAAAGGCTGTAAAAGGCATGTAAGCAAAGGACCTCAATAAAAGACAACGAAAGCCGGGGAACATTCCATATAAACCCCCAAGGTTTAGGGAAAATACACTAATCCCCTGAATTTTCAAACACGATCTAAATTATCTGAAGTTTCAAAAGGGAAGCAAGATTCCCTAATTACCAAAGGAATAACAAAAGAGAGAGAAGATCAAGTGGAGCACAGAGTCATTGAATGAAAAAAACCCAGCTTCCATCAACTTTGATGACACCCTAAAACTAAAAGGCAAACCATCAATAGAACTCCTCAGACCTATTGACTTCTTGTTGCAGTTAATTCCTTTATTTCACTAAACTAGGTACATCCATCCTGGAAAATGCATTTATCCTTTAGAGTGTTGCCAGCACCTTTATTAATCACCAAAAGCAAAAAAATCTCGAACTTTCAATTTCTGCCCATTCAGCAACGGCACACTTGCAAAAAATGAATTTCACTTGGAGAGCTCAAAAGATTACCATCTACATGTTGAAGATATTAGCAATTCATTTAGTCATTTGACAAATAACTACCTGACTTTGATTAGTGAGTGGAATACCAACAATCTATTTTTATACTACTTATAAATGTTAACATCTGTGAAAATTTTTCAATTTCCTATTTTATCCTTAACTATTATTATAAAGTCAATTATACCCACATATTTGCTTTCATCCAATTTTTAAGGAAAAATTTCAACTACACCCCCTCTATTATTCAAAACTTCACTAACACCCTTTCTATTTTGTATTTAAATATCACTGACACCCCTGTCATTAAATAACTATTTCTAACAAAAAAAATTCATCTAAAATACCAAAATTACTTATATGTAAACCCCAAATAGTCTTTCTACATAAAATTCGATTAAAATTTGGGCCAATAAAATTTATTTTTTTACATATTAAAATTCAAACCGATTAAAATTCGATTTGATTAAAATTCGATTTTCTACATATAAAAATTTGAGCTGATTAACTCGATTCAAAATGATTAAATTTTATTTTTTTTAGGTATTAAAATTCAAGTCTATTAAAATTCATTTTTTTAGGAATTAAAATTCGAACAGATTTGAACTCAACCTGAGCTTTTAGCACCGATTACAATTTGATTCGAGTCGATTCAAATTTATTTTTTATATATTAAAATTTGAGTCGATTAAAATTTATATTTTTTTACAAATCAAAATTTGAGCATGTAAAAAAATTCATAAAACAGAGGGGTCTTATTAAAGATATGTCAATCTAGAGGGGGCATGGATGAAGTTTTTCCTAAAATATATCATAGGCAATTTAGTAAAATTGTATTATAATTAAAGTCTTTAATTTGACGGGGGGTGTCAGTGAAAATTCACAAAATCGATGGGGTGTCCTCGAAGATATGATAAACTAGAAGCAGTGTGGCTGAAATTTTCCCAATTTTAAATGTTTTCTATAGTTGTTAGACTTCTAAATCCTTTTAGACTCTTTTATTAGTAGGTATTTGACTTACATACAATTTTTATATCTATATCTATTTATATAAAAAAATATAATTCAATCTATATTCTATTATTATATACATGTTGACAAATTGAATTTTATTGTCAAATATATGTCACTATATTTGACTGGTTTATCTAAGTAAGAACAAAACCAACCTATTAGGTTAACAATAGTTTACAAATTTATCAATCTATTTGACAATAAAATATAATAATATATTTAGATGTACAAATAGTCAAGAATAATAATTTTACAATAAAACTTCACTATAAACAAAAGAAAAAATGTTTAAAGAAGTCGGGAAGATGCCTAAAAAATGAAAAATTAAGTATTCAAAAAGGAGTAGAGTAGATCAATAATTAGGTTTAGTAGTAATTAATATAAGATTTAATTATTCGACAAATAATTTATTATTTAAATATATCGTGCATTGCTAGTTTTCCTAAATGAACAGGAATAGTTCACTGAAGTTTTTCTTTGGCACCTTATACGACATAATGAACGTGGAACTGAAAAAGCAACAACATAACAAAAAGGATATTATGTTGGGAAACAGGCTACATGTGCTTGAAAAATTCCAAAGCAGCAGCTGGAGGAAAAAATGACAGTCTCAAATCACCAAATCAAAAACCTAAAAAAAAAAATAACATGTAAACCTGCCTGACTTAAGCAAGATGTGTAAAAATAGCATGGCAAAGTTCCACTAAACCAGGCAAGCAAAGTAGAAGAAAAATATAGTCCATAAGGTCATAGAGTATATAAATAAAATATAATGGGACACATATATACCACACAAACCTTCAAATTATTAAGTAAATAATAAGAAACAACAGTAAGGCTGACATCACTTAAATGAACATAACAGAGTAAGTTTAAAATGCTGACTGTAATTTATTACATGAAGACAAAGATAGGCTTCAACTATCATTGGGGGGATTAGCATGAATACTTGAGTAATTCAACCAGAAAAACAAACTGACAAATAAACTGAATCTCGTACCATCTCCTTGTAGTTCTTCCAAGGAGCAACAACTCCCAATTGATTCAGGAAGAAACTTCAACTTGTTATTCGACACATTTAACAGCACCAACTGCATTGTCAAAAAATCCAGGTTAGTTTTAATGTATCGTACTTTCAGTATAATGTCAAAAAAGAAAAAAAAAACCATTGGAGTTAAAGGGCTAAGGAACAGTTTCAAGGTGAGCTTTAAGTAGCTAAAAAATTCTGATCAACAGCTAGTGCTTAGGCATATGACTCTAGTAAATCATCACACCTCACAACCAATAACTCCTTCACCCATTAAGGGGCACTAAAACTTTCAACATAAAACGCAATACACGTAACCATGCAAGCGGCAAGGTAAGCTAACTCACATATACAGAAAATGACTATCAAATTACAATAGGGTTTGTGGATCACAAGATGCAGTTACTCACATTGCGTAAGCTCCCTATAGTTTCAGGCAGGTGGGTCAACAAATTTCCTGATATGGATAACTGCTCAAGTCTCACCAACTGACCCACTGAACAAAGGAAACTATATGTAGGTTAAGACAAGTAGGGTATGGTCTTTTGCAAGAGGTAATGACCCTTTCAGGTATATAAACGAATGAAAAATGATAAGCTACACAAACAACCACATTCAATATGACATTCCTTCAATTAGAGAAGCAGAAAATTACATTCATCGGGCAAGGTAGTTATTCGATTCCCATCAAGTGTCACAACTTTTAAAAACTGGAGCTTCCCCAGGTCCATCGGGAGGTTCTCAATATGGTTATCTGCCAAAATCTGAAAAGAAAGAATTGATGTATCAAACATCAAAGTCGCTGTTCAACCTAGAATCATAATAAACATCCAGATAATGACAAAAATAAGCGACCAACTTGCTGCTCCATTATTTTTCCTCAAAACAAAAAGTCACCAATCTTTGACTAGATTCTACTGAACTTGTCACCATCTTATGGGTGACAAACTTGCCACCCCACCATTATTATTCTCTCTTTTCATGTCTGTTTAGCAGCATAAGATCCTTTAATGTCATGCACTGGTTCAGTATAAATCGAATAAATCCAAAGTAACCAAACATCTTATAATCTAGATTACTCCAGTTTGTGCACTGAGTGTCCTTTAATAAGCTCTTTCACCCTATATTAGAATTATATATGAATGCCATTGTTTTACGAATCAATGACCGGTTAAAAGAAAATTTAACATTGATATATTAAAGTGCTTTTACATGGTGGATAGAATCATCAATAAATTAGGACAGGGTATAAAGATCTGGTTGTGAAGTAAACCTCTAACTGGTGTAAGTGTAACTTGATTGTGTGATAAATTAAACCATCATTATACGTCATAAGAGTCGACGTTGGCGGACTTCCTGTTATATTTGACTCTCTCTCCTGAATGGCAATTTTGAATATCTGAAATTATCCAAGATGGTAATTGACATAAATAACTTTGTTGATGGATATTGAAGAATAAAAGCCTGTGAAATTTATGCAAGCTAGTTTCATTTTTTCCTTTGGCACAAACCTTTTACAATTTTACATTTGCCCATGCATCCCACAAGACAGAGAGATGTTATAATTTTTGTGCCTAACGTAAGTTAGAAGGTGAATTAAACCAATTTAGGAATTCAAAAAAAGGACATAATATGACACAATTTGATGACTTGCTACAAGAGGAACTATTTTTCAACATCAAACAGTACATCATGGTCTCCTAATTGTTATAGATGTCGACATTGCTTTTATTAACATTTCTACTCCATGTTAGTGCCTTAGAAAAGGTCAAAATTAATAGCAGTCAATAAAATTAACGAATTAAGGTTTATTCCTACAGAAATTAAGTATATTTTCTAAAAGCACTATCGTACAGGTAAACAAATGCAAATCTGTGATCCTTACCAACCGCTGCAAGTTAATTAATTTGTTGATCTCCATTGGGATGTCAACTGCCACATCAGAGAGAGACATAGAGACAGAGAAAAATCAGCTTTACAAAAGAAGTTGCATACAAAAACAACATTTAATTAGAAAGGCAGTGAAAATTTTCGATGATGCTGGATCCTGTGAATCAATTGAATCAGTCATTTGGGCCCAACCATCCCAACGTGAATCTGTCAATTACTGGGACTAGTAACAGCTAACAATCAAGTATGACTACCCCCACCTCCCGCAGCCACAAAATTTTAGTATACAGAGAGAAACAACACACATGCACATAGGTGCATCGTGTATGAAAAAATATGAATGTAATTCAACATTTATCCTTGTAATAGACAAAAACAAGTGCTTCAGAAACTAAAGAGCATTACCTAGTCTATTGTGCGTTAAGTCGAGAGTACGCACGGATCTGTCTAGGTCAATAACTTCATCAGGAAATGTCTGTTCAAGAAGAAAGCACTATCAGCATATCACTATTTGGATGACTTAACCAAATGTGTCAATCTATTTATCTATCAGTTCTGTACACACGCTTTCAAATCACAATCAGATTGCAGAAAATTCTCGAGGAAAGGAGGATCGACAGATTAAAATTCTGATTAACACCACCTCACCCAAAACAAGGGGAAAAGAGGGGAAAATTCTAATAAGAGTGCTCTCATGGTTTAATTACCCTTTTTTCGATAAGAAACACTAATTATATTATCACAGCTGGATTACACTGGAACCAGACAGATGAGTCTGATAACTTTAAATTGTTCCTAGCTATCTCAAAGGGAAAATAGCAAATTGGAGTTTTCAGCATTCGAAGCATCTGCAATAGAAAGTTCACAATGCCAATGATGACCTGTGAATTGTGAGGTTTAGCTCTATGCTACTCAAATCAACTCAACACCTCGACAAACCTTATTCCCAACTACAACAAGGTGGCTACATGGATCCTTCTGCAGTCGCCTCTTTGTAGAGCCATATACTCTATCAAATCTACAACTATTATGGTGATTCTCACGACCTCAGCTCACGATCTTCTTGACTATCCTTGTGCCCTTTCGACACATTCAACTAGGATCAAATCACTCTCATAGTGAGTCTACTGCATATGGCCAATCCATCTCTAACGAATCTTTTTTTTTTCAATTAGTGTTGCTTATTAAGATATATATTAATATACAATGGTGAAACTTTCCTAGGAATACATTCCTTTTTATTCTATTTTTTCATAAACTTGATTAATATTGTCAACATACTACTAGCTTTTGCTATGTTTATTCTTTCAAGATATGCCCTAGAGGTCATCCTCCAAAAGGATACAGAGGTTGCAATCACACATCCCTCCAAGAGCAGTTTTGTATTCCATCATTCTCTTACTAAATAGGCAACTTCCTTATCGATCTTTTCTTCCTTATGTATAACTGATCCAATAAATTGAAATGGCCACCCTCAAACATTCATTGCCATTCAACTCACTTTACCTTTAAGTATTCCCAATGTTAATCACTGCATATACATGACCTCCTCATTGCCAAAAACTACATTGTTGGTGATGATAATCATAATCATGACACAATGAAATGAGACCATAAGCCCAAACAAAGCAGATCCCATCATTTGCTACTAATTAATTTTTGCTCTGTTGGTGTGATATTCTTTGGGCAAATGGTTGGACCATCCAATCCTTTGCAAAAGGTTTATGTGACTGAAGCAAAAGTCAAATGCATTTATGAGAAAGCATACTAGGAATAAATATCATATTTTGAGAGTTTTTTCATCCTTTTCTCCGTGGATTCAAAGTGGGTTTGTCCCACAAGAAAACGGTGATTTTTTTGTGTTCTTTGTGACTTTGTTTACCATTGTGTCGCATTCTCATACCTTCTTCGTTCTTAAGCATTACAAAATACTTATAGATGTTATACTAGTGCAAAACATAATCTCTAACTGCAGCCCATCTTTTAGGTTGCTAATAAACTGCGCTGTTCATGAAAAATTGAGCTGGAGAATCAATCTGAATAAAATTTCATTTCATTTATGTTTCAAACAAATCAAGTTCGGATTTATTTTAAAACTTTTGTAATAAACGAACTTGAAGGGTTTTTCACTCATTCGGGTTACTTTATAGTTTACAAAGTATGGTAAACGTGGGATCTACTTCAATGGTTTACGTCACAGAACACAAGGAGCAGTTGTGTTGCGATCACTTTTGCGCGATCTCCATATTTTTTCTCTACACCAGTCATTTGGTGTGATAAACTTATTATATTAGTTCTACCTCTCTTGCCTCCAATCCAATCTTCTACACTCGAACAGAACTTCTTGAGGTTAACTACCATTATGTTCAAGAAAGTGGTTGGCAAAGAGTTGGATGTGCAATATTTGTGCACGACATATCAAGTTGCTGAGATTTTTATCAAAAGGTTATCGCATTTTTCACATTTTTCGTTCCAAGCTGATAGTTCATCCACACCCATCATCTTGCAGAGGTGAATTATATTAGACCATCTAATCCATTGCAAAAGGCTTATGTGAGTGGTGCAAAAGTCAAAGGCATTTATGAGAAAACATGGTAGGAATAGATAACATCTCACTTTATATATTTTCACAAATCTAAGTAACCGACTAAGTGATGATTCTCCATATATTTGTATAGACTTTGTATAGACAACTCATTGGATATCGTAGGTGAGTGAAGATGTGGTACTTAAGATTTATTCCTGAATATCTTTCCAGGTGTATAGAATTCATATACTTGGTAATATGTATATATAATGACGTATAAAGCTATCTAAAGGTCAAGTTTTGGCCCAAGTGTTTAAAACACTTTGTTGTCTCAGCCTTATCTTTTGTGGGCTACATAAAAGGGGCAGCCTCCCCATTCCAAACCGTCCCACATACAAACCCCTCCCCCTCATGGCGGGATTTGATCCCAGATACGTAATAAAGCAATCAACAGACTCCACCAACCATCAATTGACGTTACCAGCTCATACTTCAAATGATAACTGTATATGCAAGAAATAATCATCACTATCAAACCCAATTTCCAGCTCTGATATATACTAAATTCCCATTTGATTCATACTCAATTCCTTATCATTTGCACCTGCAATTCCAAAACTCTTCCAGAGCCTATATATGATCAGAGAGAGAAAGAGAAGGACAAGCATATATAAAACACGCCATACACACATAAACACTTTGAATCATCCATTGCATATAGATAAAGAGAATAAGAAGGATAGAATGGAAGAACAAAACTGGGCATACTGAAGAATAAGAATTAAGAAAAGTGCCTTCAATTTGGAGTCGCGTAAAGCGACAATACCGGTGGATCGCCAACGAGCCATCCGGGTAGCTTTGGAATCAGCACTCTTGCTGCTAAAACAACCCATCTTTCGTTCCGATTGCTATTTAGGCTGAGGTTGTTTGAAAGGGGTAGGAGACGAAGACGACAGTGGGAGACGACTTTGAACCAGAACGCTTGTTTGGGGCCTTTTTAGTTAGTTTGTTGTGCTGTTTGGTCTGCTTGGCTGTGCGTGCGTTTGGTTTCAATCTTGGGAGAATTACGCCCACGCTCGTCATACACGTAACACTTAGACCCGCCAATATCCATTAATATATTTCATTAGTATATTTGTTAAAAAATTATACAGAGGCTCCGAAGTTCGTATACACGTAATATTTAAATTTTTGAAATTTGTAAGCGCATAATACATAAATCCTTAAATTTAAATATTATGTTTAAATCCTTTATTAGTTACAAAACTAACGAAACTTATTAATCGACTAAATTAACACAATTAAATATAAAATATATTTTGTCCATTACAATTTGATATTTTGTTTAGTTTTTTAGTTTTATTTTAATAGATATTACAATTATTTAATAATTATAATTTTTTTAAGAAAAAATTGGATTTTTATTTTTGATTTTATTACAATAAATGACATAATATAACATAAATTTTGGTTATAAAATTTAAAATATTTGATATTTTATCTTTAATTATAATATTTTTTGTCTAAATATAATATTTTAAACTTACATAATCTAAATATTATACACATAAATTTTAAAAGGTTTGAATGTAATTTAGTAACCAATACGTGCACCTTATTGGATTTATATATAATATTTGAAATATTAGGGGTATAAATAATTAAATAACAAACTTGAAAAAATCTAAGTCTAATGTTCCCTTTATCTTAAATGCCTCGACTTTCGGAGCCTGGGTTCACGAGAAACGAGAGAAAATATTGAATGCAACGGTGAAACCATATCACTATTGATGATATGGTATTACAACCAATAATAAAATATCAAATGGGAAAGGTGAATCCCACTTGGATTTACATGGCAAAAGAGTGGGGAGTTATTTGCTTACATGACAGATTAGTTATTGATTTTTGTGGGATTCATCTATTTATTTGTTTTATTATTATTAGTTGGTGATACTACATTACCTTGCCACATAATATCACCGTTGTAATGAATATTTTCTCCAAAAACGAGTTTAAATTTCGACTAAATATTGTGATTACGGTCAGATCACATTATCAAGAGTAACTTATACATATATATGATATTCAAATTATGATTTTTATATTAATTAAACCTATGAAGGATTTGTTATATTAATTGAGCCATTAAATTATCTAATTATATCAATTGAGCCTCTTATTTGCCTCCGTTAGAGTATGTCAATCACGTGACTATATGACACAAAAAAAAAAGTATAATTAACACAATTATAGAGTTTAGAGGTTCAATTGATAAAAAAAAAAAAAAAGTTCAAGAAATTAATTAATACAAAAATCAAAGTCTAAGAATTATATGTATAATTTACTCCAATCATCACCCTTGGCCACTAGTAGTTAGAAAAACTAAAGGAGACAGATAAAGAGCTCTTAATTAACACAATTTTTTCTAACGGAGACAAAGAAAATGTTCAATTAACACAATTAAAAAGTTATGGGCTCAATTGATACAAAAATAAAAAAAGAAGTAAAGAGACTTAATCGATACAAATGTCATAGTTTAAAAATTATATGCTTAGTTTACTCAATTATTAGTATTACGTAATGTCACATCACATTATCAATATTACGTGATGCCACTCCTCAGTAAAATTAATAATATAATACTATAGTTTTGCATAGAGTGGTTACCAAATGATATGAAAGGGTAATTACTAAAATATATACGGTCAACTTTCTCATTTGTTATATTTTTATTGAATGGTATCACTACGTAACAATGATGGATCGATGTCAATATTACAATAAATATTTTATCGTAAATTTCATCACATTTCCATGGTTAGGTGATCCGTCAATAATATACTCAAAAAGAGCAATGTCATTTGAATCTAATTTACTGACCTAATTTATTATGACTTTTGAATTGATCATAAGTCTCATAAAACATTAGAACTCAATATTGATCTACTAGTTTCAATAAAATCACAGTATGAAATCACCCGTCAACACAAAATATTGGATAACTTGCATAGAATATCCTATTTGGAGATACAATTCTTGCATTATTTGTGATTTTCCTGACATTCTTTTTCATTAAACGATTGTAAAAACAATGATCATGATTATTTTTTTTACTTTGTGGACGTTATTTATAATTTTAGAAATTATTTGATAATTCAATTCGGAACTTAAAACTAAGCATATTCAGTGATTTTTAAATTAAGTTTGTTTGATAATGTTAATATCAATTACTGAATTTAGTGTCACTTAAAAGTGGGTTAAAATTTTATATCGATTGGAATTTAGAATAATGTTTGATAAAATTGAAATCTAAATACTAAAAATTAAAAATTGAATAAACTGTTTGACACCTATTGAATTTTAAATACTAAATTGAACCAAACAATGATAACTACATAAAACTAACCTCTAAAAATAAATTAAGTTTCACTTTTACCCTTCTAATTTACAGTATTTATTTTTGAATCGTAACCATTCCGATTTTTTGACATTATTATTGAATATATTCCATATTTTATTTTTAGATATTTCCACTGATTCTACAATTGTTTCTAAGAGAAGTTAACATTTTTCTACTACTTTAAAGTTACTCTTATACAATCTCAAGATTCTTTCTTCAAACTATCTCTATTTCTTCCTTTATCAAAGGATTCTTACACATAAATCTATGAAAAGTTTACGTAAATTTGGATCTTTCTAATTTTCTATAGTATTATCACTAGGAGCCATCCTTACACAACTATTTTTTAACAAAATGTCAGACAAAATTAGATATATACTTAAAAACAGTCAAATTACTTTCATGACCAACCAGAATAGTTCATATAATAAAAAGAAATTGAAGATTAAAAGTATTGTAGAACAGAAGATAATTAACTTTTAAAAGTAGTTGCCCAATGACACTCTCAACAACAAAAATTAAATTGAATAAATAAATAATTAGTCCAATACAATGAGATATCTGAACCAGAAAAAAAAATTTGAATGATAAAATTCAACAAATACATATAAAATAATTTAACAAATAAATTGTTACCAATAACAAATAAAGAATAGAATAATAACAAAATGAATAACACAATAATTGAACAATAACTAGTAAAAATTGAAAAAATATAGCAAATTGGGTTTCATTAACAACAACAAATTGCAAGAAATATATGGTGTATGTGTGTTTGTTTGATTGTGAGTGTGTATGTATGCGCGCTTGTGATTTGTGTCCGTGTTTGCATGTGTGCAATGACAAAAACTATGAGTAGGCCCCCAAATTTTAAAAAATGTCACTATTCCCTATATTTTTCAGAATGTTTTATTACTACCATCTAGCTTTTCAAAAACATCCAATATGAAAGTATTTTACTTAGTGTATTCAAAAAGATCAATGACTTAATATTTAGTAATTTACATTTGTTAGATTTTTTTGATGACCGTAGGGAAACAATAAGTGACTTTTTAAAAAAAAATTAAAATATAAGCAAATTATTGACTTATAATTCATTTTTATTATGGTATCATATGAAACTATTATTTACGACCATAATTATTTATAGACATAAGGTTATACTATAAACAAGAAAAAAAAAAAGGACAATAATATGTCACCAATAAATTTTTTTTGATGGCACGAACCAATATGCCCAAAATTAATTTTTTCAATGGCATTGCATAAATAAATTAATTTAATTTCTTTATAAATAAAAATTTATCATTAAGAATGATTATTGAATTAAATTTTTGTCAATGTTATTATTGGCTCCCTTCAAGATAAAATTGATTCCATCCTTGTGTGTGTGTGCATGTGATTGTTGTATGTGTGTATGTTCCAGAAAGTGTATGCGTATGTGTATACACAGGTGATGTGTGTGTTGTGTGTGTAGGGTGCAGATGTTGCAGAAACTTCGTCTGTGTGTGTATGTGTGTGCAATGTGCGTGTGTTATAGATCTCTCTGTGTGTAGTGTGCAATGTGTGCATGTGACAACCCATATATAAATACATAAATAATAAATTTTTTTAATGAACAAATAGACATCAAATATAAACTCTGTGTGAAACGAGTTAAATGACTATAATTTAGATCAAATTTTGTAATAATATAATGAATGAATATATATATATATATAATTATATATTATATATATGAGTTAAAGGACAGGCTGCAAAATTTAAAACATGCCCAAAAAAAAAAAGAAAAAAAATAAAGAGAAGGTATAGCAAACAAGTGGACAATTGTCCACATGCGGTAAGCAAGGTGCATCATCCATAACGCAAGGGGGGCAAGACTTTGGCCACTCCAACGACACAACGAAGAAAGAAAAAAAAAAAGAGAGACGGGGAAGGAAGAGAGAGGAAAGAAAAAAATTGGTCAAAATTTTGTTAACCTA